ACTTATCATGTGATCTAGCAATCCCACTTCTGGGCATATATCTGGAGGAAAATATAATGTGAAAAGACACATGCAGCCCAATGTTCACAGCAGCATTATTTTCAATAGCCAAGACATGGGAACAATGCAAATGTCCACTGACAGATGACTGGATAAAGAAAATGTGGTGCATATATACAACAATGGAATAGTACTCAGACATAAAAAATTATAAAATAATGCCATTTGCAGCATTATCCAGAAAAGAACTTTGAATATAGTTACTTGTACATAGAACTAACTGGAAGCAAAAAGAGAAGCCTACCAAATTTTTGAGGAAGTGGTTTTACCAAAGCAACTATCAGCCTACCCAAAAAAAGCTTGTATTTTTTTTTCAAACTTAAAATAGCTCCCAAGGAGGGCATCGTCACAACACATCACTTTGATGGGCCCATGCAGAATAATGGACAATAAGAATAACTTCTCAGAGGGCCGGGGCCTCAGAAGAGAACAGGCAAACAATGATTCCTTAAGAGAGAACATGGAGTTGCCAATGGGTTAACTCAGGAAATCACTCCACTTCCAGGGCAAGGACCCTTGGCAACCCCTGCCTCACAGGATTTGTTATTTGCTATGGTTCAGGGACTACCACACACAGTGCCAAAATTCCCTCTTCTGAACAGGGGCCTTTATTTCACTTCTCCTGGTCTTGCTCCTCCACTGTTTATTGTTGGCAGGGAGGCGGATAACCTGGTGTTCAGTTGACAGGTGGCTGTGATGAGGAGTCGAATCTGGACCTGACGGAGAGAACTGAACATCAAGTAGAGATTCCTGACTTTTGCACTAGATGATGGGCTCTGGGTTGTTTTCCTTGGACAGTGAGTGAGTATGTTCTACGTGTGGGAAGTAGGGAGCATGCAGACATTTGGAAAGCCAGGGAGGCAAACTGCGGCAGAAGCTGCTAGTGCGTTTCTCCCAACTCCCCATAGAAACAGAACCGCCACCCAGCCGGACTAAACGTCCCAGCCTGCCTCGTGATTACAACACATCTACATTCTCAGCAGTGCCATGTGAGCAGGGGCGATGAATGCCACTTCCAGATCTGGGACTTCAGACCTTCACATCCTCTTCCCCTTACATGCCAGCTGGAACCTATATGTGAGGCCAACCCTGCTTCGACCATGCAGATGATGACCGTGTTCTAGGAGGTGGCGGAACAACTTGGCAGGAACCTAACTGACCTCAAGGAGAAAGGCTGTCCCGTCAGTCTGACTGTTCACACTGACACTACTCCCTATAGGAAAAATCCACTTACATCTTAGGTCTTTCTGTTACAATGGTCTTACAATCACTCATATAGATGCTCATGTCAGAAATGCAACTTTTTATATACTCTGAACCAGTGAGGAAATCTTAAGGGAAAATTTCTGCATGTGTTTATATATGCCTACATGTGCAGTTAAAATAAAAGCTGGTTAAAGAAAAACCTTGAAGAGTGTGGTACAATAAAAATATGT